AGTTGAAGAAACTGAGGCCCAGAGGGGCTGAATGATTTGCCTAGAGTCAGAGAATAAGTCAAATTTACTATACAGCTCTCCTGATTCTCTCCTATTAATCTGCAAATCTCCGAACTCCATGGACCTTCAATACGGGAACACAGGCAGGTTCCTCTACATGTAGTCAGCCCTGATAGAAGTCAGATCTGCCTCCATTTGTGACCATCATGGAAGCTACAGATAAACCACTTCTCTCTCACATGTCACTGGGTCTCTTCTCCCAGTAACATCCTGATTCTTACTAACAGGACACTTTCAAATCCTCCTCTTTGGTTTGAGAACCATATCTGCATGAAAAGTTTGGTTAGAGGTGGATTTCTCCAAATGCCTCTCAGGACTATAACTTTCTCGGCTGACAAAACTTTGATGTTGAGGTTGCTTATATGCAATCATGTTAGCCTTAGAACTTTCAAGGATAACCCACACCTTTTGGTGATAGAACCATAATTGAGGATTTTATAGTTGGAATCTCAGGATCCTGAAAACAAAGGGAATTCCCAATTTCATGGAACATTTAGAACTGGAAGACAACTTGGGTACCCCTAGTCCAACTCTACCCTTGTCCAACTCTTTCAAGAAAATGCATCCTTAGAGGGGCATAGGCAGAGCTGCTGGTCTGGACTCCTGGTTCAATGTTCTTTCCTACTCTTTATAATGTCACCCCAATCTCTTGGGCTGAAGCAGCTGCACCATCAAAAATGCCACATCAGTTAGGACAACACAGTTGGTTATATAACTGGTACTGCAGCACAGGCAACAGAAAGAAGCCATAAGCATGAACCGCCACCCCCCACTCCAGTGGCTAAGTCCCACATACTTGACAAAATAATTCCATATGGGAAGAGAACACCCATTAATCAATTGAAAGATTAAAAACTAGAGCTAACATTTGTATAATGGTTTCTGTGTTCTAGACATTGTTGTAACTTTGCATTTCATAAGTTAACTCATTTCATGCTCACAATAACCCCATTAAGGATTTTTTTACCAGTCTCATTTCACAGGCAAGAAAACTATGGTATCAAAAATTAAGTTTCTATTCTAAAATCACACATCTAGTTAGTGCTAGTGCAAAGATTTCAAACCAGGCAGCCTGGTTGCACAGTCTACACTCTTAACTATCTTTCAATTTTAGAGCAGCATGGTAAAACTGCTTCTCTAAATAAGAAGCTACTTATTCCTCTGTGCCAGTTAGCAGGTCACTACCACTTCCTCACCTTCCCCACTATGCTAATCTTTGATTTGTTGGATAGTTTCCTTTCTACTGGCTCTATGTGTGAATGAGAGGGATGGAATAAGAATGGGATACAACTTTGAACTAATTTCTAGAATGCAGTTTTCTAAGCAGTTAGGCTTTTCATTATGATGCCATCAATAAACAAGACACAAAGTGCCCTTCTCACAGAATCTGTTTTAAAATCCATGTAGTAAGTGCACACATATATACACACAGGCACGCATTCTCTTTTCTTTCCTCAAAATTAAAAATTGTTTTTTGCTAACACAAAATGTTTTTTCAAGCTTGGAATCATTCCCTTCACCAACTTGACTGTTGCCTTTCAGATCAATATGGGCTCTTGTAATAATGGTCTGTCTGGCTTAAGAAAAGAGAAGGAACATATCCTGGGAGACAAAGTCCCCAGCATCCAGATGGGCTGAAGCACATGTTAGAAAACTAGGACCTTATTCTACTCATATTAAATCTCCAGTGTTAATAGAGATAGGGTGCTGTGAGCAGCTAAAAAACATCTTGTCCTGTTTCTTAACAGATATGGCATCCTAAGAAGTACAATATAATCTGGGAGTTCCATATGCTAAAACAAAATAAAATGACAGCATTCTGATTCTGGGCATTGTAAATCTCATCCAGCTCCCCACATACTGAAAAGAAATCCTGGATTTCTATTCACCCACATCAATCCACATGAAGCTTCACTCATTTAATCTAATAACCTAACTGGCAATAATCTTTTCCACAAGCATATAGGTTCCATATCAAAATCCAATGAGTAACTGAAGTTCAGGAATTCCATAGCTGATTTTTGAGATCAGGTGGACTGTTTGCTACTCTTCCAGCAGGAAGATCTGCTGGTATTTACAGCTCGGTGAACAGTAAGGAGGGAGAGTTCATAATCAAAGACCTCATCTGCTACTTGATCTGACATTCTGTTCATGATCACAGTCTCCAGAGAGCAAGGTACATCTATTTGAATAAACATAGAGACAGAAGGAAGGGAGGCAGGCAATCCAGTCAACAAGATGAGTGCAGAAATAAATTCACAAATCTAGAAGAGTAGCTGTCAGTGGAATGCAACCACAACATAGGACCCTTTAGGTATGTATGGGAAACACCCTTCTAGATGGCTGTGATTTCAGAGCTATGATTGCAAGTTGCCATTTGACTCCACTAATGCCTGCCACTTAGCAGGTGCTGAACAGTAAATGACATGGTGAAAGGATACATAGGCTTGCCTTGAATCTGAACCAAATACTAGACACCCTAATTACAAAGACAAGGTCAGCTGGAAATAGAAAACCACCAGCTTTTTGTCAGTAGGTAACCTTTTAGAGTGCCTTCCCTCATAGGGTGGGATCTGCCTTTGTAATCATATTCTACTTGTATGGGCTGGAATACTTGGAGGACCAGGGATGTCTTCATCAGGCAAATCCTTATATTTGTATTAAAATAGCACTGAGCAGGTATCTTGGAAATAAACGGGTATCTGCAATGCTCCATTTTATTGTGAAGTTTACCAGTGAGCAAGCAATGGCCTTGCTTGCTGCTACCTTTAAACTATTTTTGAAAAAAAAATTTTAACACTCCAAGGACAACCTGACTCAACATCCCAGTAAGCTCAACACCTCAAATGAGGGCAAGTATAGTACCTTCCCAGAGTAGCTCCACAGTTCATTTGGTATTTTCATTACATACACAGTCCAAGCAGTTACAATTATTTGTTCAGAACTGAGAAGTCAGTTAAAGTGATAGTCTATCGATTCTACACCTTGTAAAATATAATTCTTTAAGAGATTTCCTTGTAATACCGTGGTAATTCAATAAAATTGACACTTCTTTTAAAAGTTTTGTTAGTCTGAGTAAGAGTCTAAAGATTGAGTGCAAAATGACTCTCACACTTTGATACACCTGTATCAAAGGTGAGGTTACAACCCCCTAAAACAAGCAAAATTATTAAAAATGCCATGCACAAGAGTCACTGATTACTCACAGTATGTGTAAAATTATACTTGTGTGATCTCAATTATCTCGGTTTATTTTTCAGCACTGAAATGTTTTGGATTGGCTGACATAGATCTCCCAAACACTAGTTCACAATCACATTGTACAAGGGAAAAAACTCAGAAAGCTATATTCAAGAGAAGTTAATTTTTAAAAAAGTGTTGAGAATCAGGTTTTTAAATACAATCTAATCTGTGGCATCTCTGAAGCAGTTTTCCATTATAACATCTATCAAGCAGAAAAATTTCAAAGGTCAGCTCTCTGCAATATTCCTGGGCTGATGGGGTTGTTAACACTGTTCTAAGCACCATCTGCCAGCTGGTCCCTTATCATTTAACTTCAGTTTCTATGGACATATACGGAAGCCTATTCCTTCTTCTAGTCAGCACTCTACAACATGGACAAGAATACAGCCTAAATGGAATGATTCTTTGCTCTTCTGGAAACGGTAAAGGGTTCAGCAGTGTCTGAATATTGATATTCTTCCTCTCAACCCAATAGGCTGTGCTACCAATTCTCAATTCCCATTAGGAAATCATTGGGTTCTCATAGGATGTCACTCACAGAGGACTATCTAATTTCATTTGCCCGGGTGAAACAACACAGCATCCTAATTCACTCATATTTATGGCCTGATAGGTTGGTCACCAATCATATTGCACAGGAAAGTAGAAAACTGCTTTCTGTAAATGTCACCAAGATTTTTGGAGCTGGCCCCGTAAAGGAAATAAAATGCTCTTGACTCAAAGCGACTCTCGGTGAAGTGATGATCTTAAAAACCATGTCTGCAAATAAGGACTCAAAAGAATTTGTCATTAGGATACAGTGACACCAGTCCCTCATTTTGTGGTTAATAAAATGAGTCCTGTATCCAGCTTGGCAAAAGGCCCTGGTTTCATTTATTTTAATCCACGCTGGAGGACACACAGGAAAAGCTGCCATTCATCAGTGCTTCAGGACAGGATGCCAGGGTGCCTCATGGCAAAATTTACATGGGCCAGACACCTTTTTGACCAACCTTTTGAGCAAAACTAGGCTATTTCCTAAAGAGTTGGTGTACTGTGCTTTCTTTTAAAATATAATTAATTTTTAAACCTCAAAATCTGTTTTGCCTAACATTTTTCTCCCAAAAGGCCCAGTGAGACTGAGGAAAGGGGGAAGGCCAGAAAAAGAGAGGAATTGATCTGATTTCTAATTTAACGGTCTCGTGTATCAAACACTGTGTAATCAAATACAAGAAACAAAGAACTTTCCCACTGAAAGTTCACATACAGCCTTCATTTATGATTTCCTGCCCCAGTACATAATCAGGAATTTTCATTCTAAAGTGGCACATCTATCTCCTCAGAGAGCACAGCTCTCTTTGAATAAAAAAGGCAAGGTACCCTTTGGGGGATCCGGTATATATTTTTAAACTTCTTATTAAATCAACCTAATTTATGGAGCATGTTCAGGAAAAGAGGGTAACGAGGTGCTCTGGCGGAGGCAAAGTTAATTTGCAGACCATAGCCGCCCCTTCCTACCTTCCCCTCTTTCCTTCCCCTCCCTCAAGAGTTTCCGAATGCCTTCGGCCTTCTCCGCCGCGGGCCCGGACTCTGCTCCAAACAATCCCGAGTCCCTCCGAGCCCCGCGCCCAGGCCCTGCCGAACACAGCCGAGCACCGCCGAGCTGAACCCCATAGACTTTTCCGGCCTCGGCTGGGCGCTGTCCACCACTCACAACGCCTGAAACCTCACCCAGCTCTGGAGTCTGGGGCTTCTGTGGAGCTCGCAGCAAGCTACTGCAGAATACAGACTTTTGAAGTTTTGAAACATTCCCCGTAGGGAGAAAGCGGTGGCGCAGGTTACATTACCTGACCTGCAAAGGCTCCTGGCAGATGCAACCTGAACCTTATTGCAAAGAGCAATTCCCCAGGCCCCGCCTCCCCATCCTTTTGGGTTGCACAAGCTCTAGAGAAGCCCCAGGCTAAGTTACCCGTGGCTCAGAAGGGTGCGGCAAGACGAGGGGCCTCTGTGAAGAAAGCCCCAGGGAGCTCTGGAACAAAAACAAGAACGCATCAAGCAGATGGGGGAAACTGTCTCGGAGCCGCTATTCCCTACCATCATGGCGCCGCCTGGAACCCGCTCGTCATGCCTGTTACACGTGCAAGATTTTTTGCTTCTTGGTTTTGAAACCTCCAAGCATGCTTCGCCTCCCACCCACCTTCCCACGAAAGAGGTTTTTATTTTTCATTGTTTTCCTACGGGATGCAATTACTTCGGCTATTCTGTCAAGTTGAAAAATAATCATTTTTGTTTACTGCACAGCAGCCTCTAATTAGGAGCTTGTGTGTGCACGAAGGTGTCACAGCAAAGCGACGTGGAATTCTCGCTAAACGGTTTTAACGAACTCCTCCGTCCTGAACTGACAGGCCAATGGAAGCAGCAGAGCTTTGAGGCCCCAAGGGCGCTCACCCCTCACCAGCTGGCCACCCTTTTCCCCAAGCAAAGCTGACTATGGGCTCTCCAGAAGCTGCCGAGTGGATGGGGCAAGAAGCCAGCCTGTGAGTGGGAAGGAGGGGCGAGGCTCCCTATTGAGAAAGTGTGGAAAGGAAGGAATATCCCATTTTGTTTTAATTTTCAACCATCACTCAAATCCACCCCCAGTTAATTAGGAAGGGAAACTGATATGTAAGGCAGAAGGAGGCGGCTGGCAAGTGGGGCCCGAAATCCGCATTGTGGGTAGATTATACAGATTATACGGCCTATGCAGAGTGTAAATACATGATAAAGGCCACTAAGCGAAGGAAAACTGCCTGTGTCAGGGAAGCAAACCCTGGGAGGGTGGGGGAGGACAGGGGGCAGGGGCAGCAAGGGGCGGGCATTCAGCCTCACAGCCAGCGTTCCCTTCCATCTCAGGCTCTGATACAGTTGTGCCTATCACGTCAGCTTTAGAAACCCACCCCTTCCCCTAGCTCATGCCCCCTCCTCTAACCTTCGCGGCGGGGGGTGGGACGTGGGGTAAAAACCACAGCCTCCAATTCAGCACCAAATCCATGAACAGCAGACCTTGATCCTCCACCCTACTTTAGGGCTGGGTCCCCTCCATATTTTAGCCAAGTTCAAAATCACTGCCCCAGGAGAAGAGCAGGGGGACGAGATTATAGACGCCGTGGGGGGCACGAAAGGAGGAGGAGAGACAGAGACAGAATTAGAGATAGAAATGGAGGCAGCAAAACACAAGGAATACTCCACGAGCAAGAGTAATGACCATAACCATGCCAATAGTGTGATGTTCTGATCAATATGGCGGACACTGTCATTCATACAACTACAGGCGCTCCCCTCCCCTCCCCCCAAAAACACCCACCCCAGGAGTTGGGGTGGAGGACCCAGAACCAACGTAGGGAGTGGGGGAGGGAATGCAAAGCCAGGTCTCTGTGTGTGCGTGCGTGTGTGTGCGTGCGTGTGTGTGTGTGTGTGTGTGTGTGTGTACACGAATTAAAAACCAGGCCTGGAGAGCAATGTGGAGTGAGCAAGGTAATAAAAACGACTTTAAAAATTATTCTTAATAAAAGTACAAATCCCAGTGCTACAGGGACTTACTTCATCTGCTTCACAATGGTGCTTTTTCCTGATTCTCCAGCCCCTGTTGGGACACAGACAGGGGGAAAAACTGGTGAGTGTCAGTTTAGGGGAACGGGGAGAGGGGTTTAAGGCATGCGAGGGGGGCTAGTGCCAACTTAGGGACCAGGTCTCCCAGGGCGCAAGTAGGGTGGGGGAACTGGTGGCAAGGGCTGCGCTGTGGCCAGGGTCGGGGAATGGGGGAGGCAGCCGCGGTCCTTACCCAGCAGGAGTAATTTCACGTCTTTGGCGGCGCTGATGCCATCCTCTTTGAGGTTTTTCTCAATCGCCTTGCTCCGCTCGAGGGCGGCTCTCTCCTCTGCGCTCAGAGTACATCCCATGGTGGTGGCCCCTTCCCTGCCACAGCCCGCACGACTCGGCTGGCTCGGCTCCCCGGCTCGGCGCGCCCCCCCCACCCCCCCCCAGAGAGCAGAGCCTGGGTTCAAAGGGGGGAAAATTCACGATATCCTCTCCTTGGGTGGGAACAAAAATGTCGAAAGACCAGAAACCCCCCAAAAGAGAGCCGCTATCAAGACCCCAGCTGCAGAGACTCGCGGCAGTCGGCGAGGGTCTAGGGGTGCGGAGGCGAGGGTGGCTGGGGTCTGGGGCTCCGGATCCGAAGGAGGAGGCGCCCGAGGGCCGATGAGGCGCGGGTTGCAGGCACTGAGGCTGGTGCACGACCCAAAATAAATAAAATAAGAGTCGAGGCTGGATCCGCAGCCGGAGCCAGCCGACGGTGGGGTGGGGGGCAGGGTGGGTCCTTCTGCCGCGGCTGCCGGAGGAGGAGGAGGCGGAGGCGGAGGTGGCGGCGGCGTCGGCGCGGGGTATGGAGGGCGTGAGTTAAGGGGTGCTGCTAGTGCATGTGCATCGCCAGGGCTCCGCCGTCGGTGAGTCCGCGGCGCCTTCGCCGACCCCCGCGCGCTGGGCAGGGCTGGGCAGGGCTGGGCAGGGGGCCGGGCCAGGCCGGGGGGCAGGGCTCTAGCAGGAGGCGGTGTCGCTGTCTCCCAGAGCTTGCATCGCTCGGCGGAGCCTACCAGAGAGAGTGGGGGAGCGCGAGGGAGCCACGGCCGGCAGGGAGCTCGAGGAAGAGAGAGAGAGAGAGAGAGAGAGAGACAGAGAGACAGAGAGACAGAGAGACAGAGAGACAGAGAGAGAGGCAGGGAAGGAGGGGGAAAAAAATTAAGAGAGAGCGAACGAAGGCGCGCGCACGCCGGTCTCGGACTCGGGAGGGGGCGAGCGCAGTGCGCGAGTGCGCCAGCGGCTCATTGCACCCGGCTCCGCTGGCCGTCCGCTGACGTCAGCAGGTCCGCGCGCCGGGCCCCCGGGACACACTGGGCGGGGGCGGGGGCGGCGCGCGCCGGGTCCGCGTCAGCTGCGGGTGGCGCGCACGCGCCCTCGCGGCTTGGCCTCTCCTCCCACTTCGCGCCCTCCAAGCCTGTGTTAGGCGCGGACAGGGTGCGGGAGGACTCTGCCTGGGGGCTGGAGGCGGGGCCTAGGTCCGGGGAGGGTGGGGTAGGGGGCGGGATCTGGGCGTGAACGCGCAGGCCCCACCCCGGCCCACCCCGCCCGCGGCGGCCGCCTCTTCAATGAAAACGCTGGGCCTGGCAGGCTGGGCGGCGGTCAGGTGTGCTCCGCGAGTCCAGCGCGGTCTCTGCAGTTCTCTGAGAGCTCTGCGGCTCACCTCCAGCGGTTCGCCTTCTGGCTGGCTCTCTAGCTGCTGGGTCTTAGCAGCCGAGGCCGGGTTACCTTAGCAAGCGTGAGGAGATGGTGGGTCGGAATCAACATGCGCAGCCCGTACTTCTCCTCGGGCTCAGAGGGCAGTTTGTTTTGCTTCCTGGGTCCGCATTTATTGAGCACCTATTATGTGAGAGAAGAAGCCATGAGGAGAGAACATAAGCTGAGGCAAAACTATGGCTTGTATTCCAGGAGCTTCTGCCTCTTTTGGCCTTCGTCCACCATGCTCCGAGATTCGAACCACAGCTGTGGGTGCAGGAGGTGGATCCCACCCTGGGAGGCCTCGGGGCCTACAGCAGAGGGTCAGGCTTTCAAGGGCGTTTCTAGCAAATGCTTTCTCTCTGTGCACCCTTAAAATGCTACTGTAAATGTTGGACCGTCTAGTTTGCCCAATTCTCTTGTCCTACCCCTTCCGAAAACACAAACGCGCAAAATGAATTTTGCATAGATTTTTGATGAGAGGTTTTCATCCTTTCTTGATCAGAAAGGAAGGGAGGGAGAGAAAGAAAGAGACATCTTTATCCTCATCTGTTCTCAAACGGAAACCCAGAAACCCGGGTCAGTTAACTCAGTGTACAGTTAATCAAATACTGGGGAAACCAGTAGACGTTTGCCAAGATCGGGCATGTTGTGGGTGGTCTGAGATGTTGAAGAAACTAATTCTTACTGCACAAAATAGTTTTACAATAAGTTCCACCACACAGCCCCAGAGGCCCTCCTAGAGAAAGGGCCCAATGGGTAAGGCTATAGGGGAATAAGACAGGCAAGGGGCCAGAGAAAAACATTTTTTCTAACAGTTGGGCATTTCTGTGGCTTTGAAAGCAAACTTGTTTGTTTTGACAGCAGAAAAAACACTCCTGTTTTGGAAATGTTACCCAGCATAAAAATATATTTGCAATAGGGGATAAAGAAGGCAATTAAGGCCCACCCAGAAGAAAACATTTTTTTCCTTGAAGCTTTTAAATTTGGTATTTCCCAGTATGGGTCCACCTCATTCTACAAATAACTGTCTATGTTAAAAGTTGCATATGATGTAATTTAAATATTTAAATTTAAATCGTAATCTACATATTCTAGGGAACAGTTTTATCCAATAAATAACTTTCCCTACCTCCCCCACCCCTGTTTCGCCTTTCCTGTTTGTGCTTGGGGGAGAGAGGTTAGGGCAGTGATGGCGAACCAATGGCACACCTGGTGAAGCAGGCACGCAGAGCCTTCTTTGTAGGCACTCGAGTCAAATATATATATATATATATATATATATATATATATATATATAAACTAAAACCTCAGTATCCAATTTTAATGCAGTGTTGGCATTCTGTGATAAATAAATGGGTTTTGGGTTGCAGTTTGCCACTCGGTCTCTAAAAGGTTCACCATCACTGGGTTAGGGGATGAATCTGCTTTGGCTTAAAATCAGAATTATCAGTAAGAATCAGCCCTCCAGATCCAAAACAGAGGGTTTAGGTGCCCAACATTCTATAGAATTTGTTATTTCCTCTACAGGTTACTAGGCCAATTATACAGATCTACCAGATCCAGGGAACACTTAAGAGACTTCAGCCAGGTTCTATTTCTGAATGGCTGCATTTGAAAGATGGAAGAGGTAAGGACATAACTGTTTCACTGCAGGTTTGAAGTCACATTTTATATTTTAGTGCTCTTTCATTTAAGATTTTAGGGTTTTGGGGGCATTTTGGTTGGTGTAATTGAATACTATCCTTGACTTTAAGTACATTTCTTCATTCTTGGTATCAGATAAAACATGGTGAGGGACAAACCAGTTTTGTGTTTTTCTTTACTCAGTACTTCCTAAGCACCTACTACTGTGTATGTGGGGTCATGTGCTAGGATCTGTGGATTTTGTATTTCAGGTTTTCCCATCTTGTTTTCATTTTTTGGGTCATTTTGCATCTTTATGGCTTGGTTTCATAAAAGACTAATAATAATCCGCTTCCTCTGTATGGTGCTTTACAGCTTACAGAGCACTTTTACAAAAATTATCTCATGTGATCCTCCCACAAAATCCTCAGTTAGGCACTGTGGTGTGGGAAACGTCATGGCTGAGTGGAAAGAGCCTAGACCATGAATACAGACTGATAAGAGAAAAATTCTGAGATGTCCTACATTTAGTCACAAAGGATCAAGGGGTAGAAGGAAAGAGAGATGGGGAGAGATTAATCAGCAACAAACTACAGGCCAAAAAGAACAAAAGACTGTTTTTACATTCTTGAATATATATTGTGACTCCCTAGATCAGTGATAGTGAACCTTTTAGAGCTTTCAATGATAACAAATAGCCAGCTGTGACACATGTACCATAGGTTTGCCACCACTGCCCTAGATGCTACTTCATCCTGCTTTAGCCCTAGCTAAGCTCAAGGTAATCACTGCTTCTCCTTGTAGATTATCTTCCTTTCCTAAAGCTTGTTTGGGGTAACTTGCCCCTGTTATCAATAGCCAGTTTAGGTTCAGTGTAATTTGTGCCTTCCTTCCCCATGATTTCACTATAAAATGCAAAATACTCAGGATTCTTTTTTTGTGTGTGTGGTTGTACTAGTTTTTATTATCACCAATAATGTAGAAGGGTTTCTTTTCCCTCTAGCCTCACTATCATTTGTTATTATTTGATTTTTCAATGATAGCATTCCTTCTGGAGAAAGATAAAATCTCAGTGTTATTTTAATTTTCATTTCTCTAATGGACAGAGATGTTGGGTATTTTTTCATATGTATATTGGCCATTTGTACTTCTTATTAGAAGTGTTTATTCATTTCAATTGCCCATTTTTTCATTGGGTCTTTTATTTTGAGAGTCTAATTGTTTGAGTTCTTTATATATTCTAGATATTAGTCCTCTATCAGAAGAATAGCTGGAAAATTTTTTTCATGTTCTATAGATTGTCTCTTCACTCTGTCAGTTGTTTTCTTTGCTGTGAAGAAGATTTTTAATTTGATATGATCCCATTGGTTTGTTCTTGGTACTATTTCTTGTGTAGTTGAGGTCTGAGAGTCTTTGCCTGTACTTATATCTTCAAAAGTTTTACCTATTTTTATCTTCCAGCAGATTAAATGTTGTTGTTTTAACACTTAGATCTTTGATATGTCCTTCTAATTCTTGATCTGGAGTACGAATATGACTGACATTTGGAGATCTCTTGTATTATTGCCAAAGTTGGGAGGCTGGGAGTTACTATTAGCCACTTATCACCTAGTCACCATTTACTTAAAAAGCAGGTGGTAAATGTTTTAAGCTTTTCCTATTTTGTGGTTTCTATCACAAATACTCAACTTTGCTATTGTAGCACAAAAGCAGCCATAGGTAATATGTTGGTGAATGGATGTGGCTGTGTCTATATAATTTTATTTACAAAAATGGTTAACAGGGTGCTTTCAGTCTGTGAGCCTTAGTCGATGGCTGATCTTCTACATGTGACCATGGGAGCACCCAATAGAAGCAGTGTCCTTGCCTCCCTTCAATTCCTGCTTAGGTCTGACAGTATTGAAAGGTTCTTACAGATACAGCATTGCATCTTCATTTTTTTTATCCAAACACTGAATCATTGGAGTCGTCATGATATTTAATACTGTACTTTGGTGGCTTTTTGACCATGCTGTTCCACCTACCTGGAGTATCCAATTTTTTTCCACCTGGATAACTCATGATGGATTCTTGACCAATTCCAGGAATTCAGCTCAGAATTGTGTGCTTTTCAAAAAGCCCTTTCCAGACCCCCTTCTTAGCTCCCTTATGTAGAAGGAATTTCCTCATCATGATAATTACGATCCAACCTTCTTAGATATAGCAGATGTTTTCCAACTGTTACCTAGCTTCTATGCTGATAGTTGCAAGACCTTGTCCCAGGACCTGGTCATTTCTTTTTCTGGCTAGCATCTGCAGTAGCTCAGTGAGTCCTTTTGTTTCAGAGATCTCTTGGTCTCTGGAGTTGGGTTTAACAAGATTTATCTGGGTACCTATTTTAAAGCTGAGCCTTAGCTCAGGGACTTGCATAACTTGTTTAAAGTCACCAAGTCATTAAGTATGTAATATGCTGGAGCACCTTTTACAGGTTTATGGACTGAGAGATAGCATGTTTTTTATAATACATGACTCAGAAAGCATACTACCCCAGAACCTAGGCACATTCTAGTTTCCCTAAAGTAAGTGAGGATGAGAGTATCTCAGTTCTCTGTGAATTTTAGTAATTAGACAATGCTGCACATGTTCCGTTTGTCCACAGTTCTTTTTTTTCTTTCTTTCTCTTTCTCTTTCTCTCTCTCCCTCTCCCTCCCTCTTTCTCTCTTTCTTTCTTTCTTTCTTTCTTTCTTTCTTTCTTTCTTTCTTTCTTTCTTTCTTTCTTTCTTTCTTTCTTTCTTCTTTCTTCCCTCCCTCCCTCCCTCCCTCTCTCTCTCTCTTTCTTTCTTTCTTTCATTTGTCATGAGAATCAGAAAATTACAGTCCTAACATCAGGAATGGGGATGCTTGGGCCAAGGACAGATTCTATTTGGTTTTATTTGGTATGATCCTCAGAATTATATTTTTCTGATTATTGCTGTTGGCCAGAAAATAATTCTCACCCTACCCTTAGTCATCCATCATCTTTATTAGACATACGTGCTTGCATACACATGCACACACTTTTCAGCATATTTAATATTTTAAAAGTAGATAATTTCAATGTTTTATATATATTCTCAAAGAAATAAAAACAAAGTCTACATAGAGCTGCTTTTTATTACTACTTGTGGCTCCCAGTTCTGGAGGATAGTAACTCATGATACAAACAAGTTTCCTCAGCTTTGATTTACCCTATCTATGCTCTGATTAAGTGAACTGAATTTCCCTATTTATCCCACTTTATGTGATTACTTTAATTAAATATGTATTACTATGTTTAATATATTGATTAAGACTCAAAGAAAGATGTAGGTAAGAGTTTGAAGTCTTGAAATCCTGGCACCCAAATGTTTTCTCAAACCATTCACATTAGAATCAGATAGGGTGGTTGTTAAAGAATTCAGTTATCCACTTTATTTCTATGAAGTCAGACTTTTCTACAATTTGCATTGATAGGCACTCCCCAGGTGGTTTTTCTGAATGCAAAGTGTTGGTCTTATGTAGAATTTCTGTATGCCAACTAATCTGCTCTGACATTACATGCTTAAAGTCTAGCTCAATTCAAGTTTTAATTCTTGTTAACTAGTGTCTTAGTTACTTTGCTCATTGCTGAGACAAAATACCTGGCACCTAAAGTTAAAGGAGGAAAGGTTTATTTAGCTCACAGTTTGTAGAAGTTTCAGTCCATAGTTGGCTGGCTCCAAGGCAGAGTGGCATGGCAGAGGGGCATCGCAGAGGAGAAACAGCTCATGGCAGGCTGAAGGCAGCAAGCTATAAGGTACAAGTGACCGGTGACAAGCCTCTTTTTGCCCCTTATTTTTTGTCCAGGCTACTCACCCTTAGGGCGGGTAACACTTACACCCTTAATCCTAGCATTGCATCCTTGATCCCAGCATAACACACCCTAGATCTAGCCACCTGTGTAAAGCCCCACCTGTGACAGCATGAGGCTTTGGAGAGACATCTAGATACAAGCCCCAACAACTAGTTTTTTTGTATTTCTGTCACTAGAAGAAATTGTGGAAATCACAATTTCTTATGGACACTCTTGTCATTGGAAGAAAATAGGCTCACACTTGTGGTTCATGAGCTAAATGAAACTAACTTCAGAGAATGGTAGGTCACTAGGGATTATGGGTTTCTGCACTAAGTGTTTCTATTATAAATCAGTAGCTCACAATCCAACATAGTGGTGAATATAATTTACAAGAATGTCTGGGCCAAATTAGGCTAAAAAATGACTTCGTTTGCTTATAAATATGTGGCTTTAATAAGGGAGGATGCTGGTCAATTTTTTCCTTTCCTTTCCTTTCCTTTCCTTTCCTTTCCTTTCCTTTTTTTCCTTTCCTTTCTTTCCTTTCCTTTCCTTTCCTTTCCTTGCCTTGCCTT